TTGCCGGCATATTTTGCTCTATTACATATATATGTAGGACTTAACGTTTGGTATGCATGTCCGCCACTTGATGTTTGTTTTGCTTCTAGCACTATTGTTTTGGATGACTTTTCTAGTAGTTTGTCGTGACTTGTTTTGGTCGTTCTTCTTTTTGGCATGGTAGCAATTTTATCTTTTGTTTTGTGGTTGATGAAAAACGCGATGCGGTTATAAATATTATGTAGAACATGTGTTCGGTTCAAGGTTTGTGGATTACGAGACGGAGTTACTGATGTTATTTTGGTGCGCGTATATGAAGTGCGATGTTACATGCTGTAAAGTGCTACGATGTGATGTACAGTGTGCAATGTGACGACATGTAAAGTGCACTAGTGTAGCATATACACATTGCTCGTGTCGCTAGACGTGAGATTGTTGTGATGTCGACTTGTTGCAATAACAACCAATTATATTGTATTTTTCCATCAGAAAATATATGTATGTATTAGATTGTTATAGGGAACGATTTCGTAACTGTGTAAATACACGGGGCCATGCCCTACTTTCTTTAATATACCGTTCATACACTTTCCATATGGTATCAACCCATGATTGAATCACTGATCAGAGCTTTTCACGTGCCGACTACATATTTCATATCGTATCACGTCTTTTTCCAAACTAATAATATTTCTCAATGTGCAAACACATATGACGAAAAAATAGTGCAACATGTCGCTGACAAAAGTGCAACGCAATATTCATAAAAGTGCGACGTACTATAAAAAAAGTGCAATATACATATTGTATCCGCGATAGATGTGCACAACATAATACTGTATAAACGACCTCTGACAACCATATTAATCATCAGTCAATGACATTGGAAAGAAAAGAAAGGAACGAATAACAATAGAGTAACATTAAACCGACTTGTCTTAAAATCCATGGCAATGATCGAGTACTACATATAGCAATATTCATTAAACGAACAAACACATGTCTCTAACATTTTCCAGAAAACAAAAAAAAAAAAAAAAAAAAAAAAAAAAAAAAAAAAAAATTAACATTAAACCAAATGTCCAATCGTAGCATTTTGATCTGAGTTTAATTCCCATCAACGGCTTGTCGCCTCGCATGTCGCCCGTGTCTGCACTTTTTTTTTCACGTACATCAATATTCATTCATCAAATTTAATGTGCATTGCAATATTGTATGAGTAAGCACATACCATTAGTAAATACGTACGACTAATGAGCAATGGTATAGGATGTTGACAAATGTATATAGAGGCATGTTGTAGAATAATTATACTGTAAGACCAATGCACAATGTGTAAAAGTCGATACATTTAGACAAATGCGAGCATGTCCGTATGTTAGAGTTTAAATAAAGATCTCGTGCGTTTTACCTCGGCAGGATTTGGCTTGTACGCCTGTTGCTTCTTCGGACATGTACGTATGTTATGGCCTGCTATTTCACCACACGACTTGCACGTCCTTCGTTTCTTTTGCGACTCTTCGATTGCCTTCTCCTTCCCACTTCTTAGTCTCTTCCCGCTGCCTTTGTTCTTGGATTGGGTTGGAGGGTGAATGTTCACCTCTCGAGGAGCTGCCATGCCGACAAATGATTCAAATTGGTGTTCTTTTCCAATGTTCGTCGCATCGCCTGTTTCTGAAACAGACATGTTAGTTTATAAAGTGCAACAAAGTGTTCTATATTGTGCAACCCGATTATATATAAAGTGCAATACTGTATGTATCATGTACAGAGGTTTGTTTTTACCTGAGATCGTTGCATCCCCTGTTGTAGCAGACAATAGCTTAATCTTGTATGCTTCGACAATTTTGGAAAATTCAGTAATCCGATCGACACAAGGCTCAGCTAATCCAATGCATATATGTATATCCGACCATAGTTTGTTCAACATGTGTTTTATATCATCAGCTTGGGCACACTGTGCATCAACACTATCAAGAACGTGAAACATGGGATTTCTAATCGCATGCTTCGTCCATCTCGACCTGATATGTGCCGACGGAATGAGATCGAAGCCTAGGTCTTTGAGCACGACAAACACGTGTCTACACAACAACCCGTACAACTCGAAGTGCTTGCATGAACACGTAGACGTAGTTAGAACCACATCATGAATAACAGTGAAGGATTTACCATTCGTGTCTTTGATTGTGAATTCCATATTCCCTTCACTTTCAGAGACGTTCAGCACACGACACGTGAAACATGCGGCACATATCTCATCTTGTACACGGTAGAACGAGGATGTCGTGTAAACAGATCTCGCGTGCCTCTCAACTGACAAAGGTGTCTTCAACTCAGCCATTTGCGACTCACTGTCGTTTTGTAACTTGACTGATACATTTCGTTGTGCGTCCATCGCACTGTCGAAATGTAGTAAGAACTCGACTAAGCTAGAATGGCTACTCGTGAAATGTCCGAACCAATGGTTTTCACTCTCGGACCTTGATGTTGTCCTCATCAACCCGCTCATTTTGACTTCTCTGAAAAATGCCGGAATCCAAAATTCCCTTTTTGCAAATAGATCAATAAACCAATTATGTGTTTCCAGCATAAAGTCTCCCATGATTGCTGCCCATTTAGATTCAAATTCATCCGGCTCTATAGTTCGGTCCCACACGATTTCATTAAGCCTTCGCTTGAATTCTACATCATTATTTATTGAATGACCGACCTTGTCGCATAGTTTAGTCATTATATGCCACATGCAAAATCGGTGTTTGCAAGTCTCGAATACCTTAGGAAACGCAATGCCGATCGAGGGGTCTTGGTCAGTGACGATATATTCGGGTTCGTGCATCATTGCATCTTTGAAATTCTTGAACACCCATTCATAAGAGTCCACGTCCTCTTTTGATATTAACGCGGCGGCAAACGTAACACACTTGTTGTGGTTATCTATTCCAGTAAAAGGCGCAAAAATCATGTTGTACCTACACATTGAGAGAGTTCAGTTAGTTTTATATTGGATAAACAGAGAAAATACAAGGTGCAATTGCTGACTGTATAAAGTGCAATTACTAAATGTACAAAGTGCAATTGTTAATTGTATAAAGTGCAATTACTGCTGACTAGTGCAAAAAATGTTATTGAACTGACAAACTACGTTAGAAAATGTATGTGAAATTTATGCCAACCTGTTGGTGCCGTACGTCGCATCAAATGATACAACATCACCAAACGAACCGTAGTTCCTCCTCGAAATCGGATCAGCCCAAAAAAGCCGTTTCAAACGCTCTTTTTCGTCGAGCTCGTACTGGAAGTAGAAGGCTGAGGTTGCTTCCCGACGCTTATGGAATTTATCAATAATCAATTGTGCATCAGCTCCTAAGATGTATGCACGGAGTTCCCGCTTTAAGTTCTTGAAATCCGTGCTGGTGGCTCCAACGTTCGAATACCCTCCAACCATCTCCTTGTACAATCGGTGCGCCTTGACCGGCCCTATATTTGCTTTTATGCAATTCATTACGAACGACCGATGTACTGCATTCATCGACCTATTGATCTTCATTTGTGACCTGCAATCTTCAGATGTCATAGAGTGGCTGTGCTTTTCCTCAAAGGTTTTAACGACGTATCCATTCAATCCATCATA